TGATTTAAAAACTATAGTACATCTACACCATGGAATACTACACTGCTGTAAAAAGGAAGGAACTCCTACCATTTGTAACAGCATGGATGGACCTGGAGAGCATTATGCTAAGTGAAATAAACCAGTCAGAGAAAGATAAATATCACATGATCTCACTCATTTGTGGAATATAATGAACAAAGTGATGAGCAAAAACGGATCCAGAGACAGAGAAGCATGGATCAGACCGTCAAACCTCAGAGGGAAGGTAGAGGAGGGTGGGATTAAGGGAGAGAGATTAACCACCAAAGGACTTGTATGCATGCATATAAGCATAACCAATGGACACAGACACCAGGCGGATGAGGGCATGAGTGGGGGGATTTGAGGGTGGGGGACAATGGGGTGATAAGGACACATATGTAATACCTTAATCAATAAAGAAATAAAAGATGTTAAATTGAGATTTTTACTAGTAGAATGCTAGTATCACCTCGTATGGTATAGTATGGCATGACTATGGGTCAAGAGAACAACATTCCATAATCTTCTGCAATACTACAGTATAGTAATAACTGGGGAAACCAAGTTGCAGTACTTTTTTACAAAGCACTCTGTGGTATTGAGAGTTCAGAGTACAAGAAGGTACTGTTGAGCTGACTGAAAAATACTAGTTTGTCTTTCAGAGCAATGTTAACCAAACACATGTATATTGGAATCATTTTCTACATTATATTGCTTCTAAAGACTATAATTTAATTATCATAGTTTCCCAACTTAAAAATATGAAAGTAGAAGTATAGTACTCTTACTAAGCTGTAAAGGTACATTCTAAGGAAGATGCCCAGACAGTGAAGGTTTTGGAAACCATTTTTTTTCAGGACTGGCTAAAGGAAAGGAAAGATGGTTAATGGGAAGATAATTAGAATTTGGTCTTCCAAATATGTAAATAGGAAAAAGATTAACTTTTTACTGGAGAAACCTGGCAGATAACACCTTAATCAAATGATCAAAATGAACATCAGGATGTGAGGGCCATCTGGCTGCAACATCTGTCACACCATTGATCACACCATTGATCACACCATTGATTTGGCTGATCTGGCTGGGTAGGCAGGTGTCCTCTTCCTCCCTCACTGCTCCATGTGCATCCTTCCAGAAGCTGCAAGCTTGGTTGAAGAAAACATTCCCAGATAGAGGAGAGGACTGTATTCCGGTCAAGGTTACATGAGTAGCTGCACCCTCCTGCTAAAGCCTCCATCAAGATCTCAAAATGAACATCAACAGTAATGGAATAAAACAAAATCATGTGTTGACTGACAGGATTCAAAAAGAACCTGAATCTAATCAGAAATAAACATCAGACAAACCAAAAATTAGAAATGGTTTACAAAATAACTGGCCTGTGATCCTCAGAAGTGTCATGAGTATGAAAGTCAAAAAGAGAGTGAAGAAATTTTAGAATGAAGGAGACTACAAAGGCAGTACAAATAAATATAACATGTGAATTTGAACTAGCCCCTCTGCTATAAAGGACATAATGGAGACAATTGGTGAAACTTGAATGAGGTCTGAGGACTGGATGGTAGTATTATAACAATGCTAATTTTATTATTTTGATAGTCATATTGTAGTTATGTAGCAGAAAGTCCATGTTAGAAGCATATATACACTAAAGTACTCAGGGGGTATCAGGTCAACAACTAATCTCAAATGGTTCAGGAAAAACATTTTTTTATGCTATTCTTGCAACATTTCTATAAGTTTGAGATTATCACTTTTAAAAATTTAAAACAAGTATTCAGAGTCATGACATCACTTAAAAAGTGAAAAAAAAAATGTGAATAGCTGTGGCCCGGAAGAAGACTTCTGTTTGTCTAGACTGCAATGGTTGGCAAACTCATTAGTCAACAGAGCCAAATATCAACAGTACAACGACTGAAATTTCTTTTGAGAGCCAAATTTTTAAAACTTAAACTATATAGGTAGGTACATTGTTATTAACTTAATTAGGGTACTCCTAAGGCTTAGGAAGAGCCACACTCAAGGGGCCAAAGAGCCGCATGTGGCTCATGAGCCCCAGTTTGCCGACCACAGGTCTTGAGTCTCTAGACTCCAGAGAGATAAACTAACATCACTGGGTAGAAATTCCCAGGAGGCAAATTTCATCTCAGTATAAACTAATACAATTAGAGTTGTCTGAGAACTGATCAACTGTGAGTCAGTGAGTTCCCTGTACAAAAAAGAAATTAAATAGATAATGGAAGTTCACTTTACAAAGGTATTGCTAGAAAGCATTTTTCTTTGGAAGGAAAGCTAGACTAGATGATGTAAATGTCCTTTTCAACTTTATAGGAGTAGTATGTCATGGTTCTACTTCTTTTAAATAGCCCTCTGCTTTGAATCCTGAATAAGCACTGTCCTAGAATAATAATTAAAGACCTCCTAGGCACTGCCCCTTTCTTCAGAGCCATGCTATGGTCTTCAATAACACTAAAGACTTCACTTCTGCAATAAAGATTAGTAACTGGCCAGAGTATTCAGGGATTTTAGGAAATCTCCTTTACCCAAAAGAATTCTACTCATCATTCAAGACTTATCTTAAAGGTTCCCTATGCTGTGAAATTTACTGGATTCCCCAAATAGTTAGTGTCATCCACTTTGTATAAAAGCACTGCTACTTCTAGAGCAGGACTGATTGATTCTATTGTATATTTTAACTCCTAAAATACTTTTCCTTAAAGAAGGGTGCAAAGAGTTTAACAATTTTTTTATGCATCAAAAATTATGCGTGTAGTCATCTACTTCTACACCTATCCCTAAATTTTGCACTCCTGCAGGGCCTGGAAGCTATTATTATTATTCATTTTTTAATCCTTCCACAGGTCTTGCAGTGTTTCAGCCTCGAGTAGGTTGGCACACTAATTACCATCAGCACCCATTCAAAGAGCTTAGAAACTAATAAGGTTCCAGGACAAACAAAAACATGTCTCCCTTTCTCTCGCTTTCCCCCTCCCTACCTCCCACTCTCTAAAAATTAATGAAATATATAGATATCAAAGATGAGCAGAACCACAGAAAGCAAATACAGTACAAAACTAATGTCAAGGATACAGAGACTGGGGACTTTTTGAAGTCAGGACTCATGTTTCATCCATTCCTGTATTTACAACATCCAAGCACAGTACCATAATATATGCTCAAGAACCATTTAATGAATGAAATAGTCTCACCTTTAAATATGTCTTTTATGAGTGGGGCTACTGCTGTATTGAAGATTTCCTCTTGCTCAGTAGAAGGGTCAAACACAAAGTCGTAGGTGAAGGATTTGTCAGTACCAACCACCACCTGGAGAATAATGGAGACAAAGGAATAAAAAGATGAAAGGTCAGACCACACCCCACACTGTCCATTGGCCTGAGGTGTCCCATGCAGGTCCGGGACTGTTACGCACCTGCGGTTCTCCAGGTACAAAGGAAAGGCACATCTGACAGCCCTCACTAATCTCTTTGGGAACCAGAGGGCGACATCGTAGTGCCACTCTTACAGGAATTCCCTTCACCTCTTCCGTCATGCTCCTACCTCAGCACCGTATCTGAGGGAAAAAAAGAAAAGAGGCTTGCTTGATGAATCTCGGTGGGTTGGCAGCGGTGGGAGAGCGTCCTCCTTAGTCCCGATCCTCCGCAGGGGGTAGGGGATGGGTTACTGACCTCAGCGTAGGTGAGGCAGCTTCTTCCCTCAGCAGGGTCGCAGCCGCTGGAGTCACTCTCCCTCGAATTTGGCCACGAGACGGCCCGGCAGCCCGGTACTCTAAGTTAAACAGCGAAGTGTCGTCTAAAGTGAAAGGAAAGCCCCTAACGGAGGCTACGACAAAGACCCACAGCCCCAGGGTACCGGGAAAGGCAGTTCCTAAGGTGTCTCCCCTTCACTCGCCAAACTGAACGTACCTTCTCCTGTGTTCCCGCTGCCGTGTCCTAACCGGAAATTTAACCGCCAAGTTTCAAATTGGCCCTGGAGACGCCAGCCAATCGGAGCGCAGACAGCCGGCGGGAGGTGCACGCACGTCGGCGTACGCAAACGCTTTAGGAAGGGGTGGGCCTGCGTGCCTCACGTTGATCCCGCCCCTGGGGACCCGTCGTAGCATCTGCTTCCGGTTCTCCGGCTGATTTGGCGGTGAGGAAAACCTGCGCTGGCTGAGGCCTGTTGGCAGGTGAGATAGCAGGGCAGTTACGTCTTATAATGCGCGGAGCTTAGGCAGGAGGCGGCGAGGGGATTTGAAGGTGACAGGTGGTGAAGGAAGGGTTGATATGGGGACCGTCACAATTACCGATCACATCTAGGGAATGTGGGCGGTGCCTTGCCTCCCGTCCCTGTGTGGTAGGCAGTTACGACTTGAGCAGAGCAAAGAGGAAGGGCCAGGTACCGAAGGGCACCAGGGTGGAAAGCCCCAGGTGTCTAGCAAAGGACAATTGTAGGGTGGGACCTTGCCCCAGGGTGACCTTTCCTCCCCTAGCATATCCATGGTCAAGCGGTTTGGACCCCCTGACTTTTCCTCCCTAGAGATAATATCTAAGCCTCAGTTTTATATCATCTCCAAGCCCAGATAAGCAACAAAAGCAGCCACAGCTGACCTCAGGACCAGCTGCATTGGATAATGAAAAAGCAGCCAAGCTGACCTCAGGACCAGCTGCATTGGATAATGAGCCCCCCCCCCCCGTGCCATCCAGTCAATCAGTAGAGACCTAGACCCTGAAAGGAAACACCTGGAAAACCGCTGAATAGTCTATTGAGACCTTCCCCTTGGACTGCCCCTAAAATCACTATGAAAACCCTTAGGACAGAGTACCTAGTGCTCTCTCCCTCCTGGGAGCACTCCAGCGCCTTTCCCTTTACCCCTCCACCGCCCTCACCATTATCTTCCTCACTTCCAAGCGCCAAGGGCCTTCCTTTACTTCTATAACTTGTTTCCTAAGCCCACCTCTTCTACAAATTACTTCTTCCATTACGTTGTGATTTTATAAATAAATGTTCTCTTATAGTTTCGGTCTTGACTGTAAATTCTTTCTTAGCCAGAATTCAAGTACCAAGGTTGCTGAACCTAGGTACCATCTGACCCCATGGGTGTACCACCTGGTGCTGTTCCTGACACCTACAACACCTGTGGATAGTTGGAGTCAGCACTCCCTTGGACTTTGAAAGTAGACAGATCTTTGTAGATGCCATCCTGCTTGCCTCTTCTCTAGGTTGAAGAGAGTAACATCTATTTTGCAGGTTGTGAAAAAGGACATTATCTATATAGAGGACCTAGAAGGTTGCTTGCCATCTAGATATCCAGCAAAGTTCATTGTTTTTTTCCATCTTCTTTCTTCCTTCTTTCCACCAATCTATCACCTAGAAGTGGGTTCATACCATAGGTGAAAGCCGTAGGTTGGAGTTGTTTTCTGAAACTTGCTGGGCTGCTGTCCCTTTTGAACCATCTTTGCAGCTTTGATTCACTTTTCCATTCTAGGGCCTTGCCGGAGATGGACAGCCGGATTCCTTATGACGACTACCCAGTGGTTTTCCTGCCTGCCTATGAGAATCCCCCAGCATGGATTCCTCCTCATGAGGTGGGAACCATCTATACTCTTGAATAACTGATTTTCCCCCTTGGGCATGGGATGATATATGAAAGGTAGGATAGCAGGGTTAGAAAACTCAATAGAGAATGATTCTTAGCCTTTGTTGTAGCCAAGGGACCCAGAAATTGGATTCTGAGCAACTGGGCCCATTGGAAGATTCTTACGGAATTCTCCTTCCAGAGTACATTCATACCAGAGAATTCTGAAAATTCAGAGCCCTGCTTTCCATTCTGTCAAAGTAAAGAAGTGGAGAGCTACTGGACTACTAGCATTTCCCCAAACTATCCACCTACCCATTTGGACAGTGTGATCTGTTCTGTTTAAACTAAGGCTATGACTTTACCTTTTCCTGACTTCAGGGTGATACATTTGTGTTGCAGATGAAGATGGTTATAAAATCTAAGACTGGTAGTAAGATTTCTGGTGTTGCTGTGTCTTGCAGAGAGTATACCACCCAGACTACAACAATGAGTTGACCCAGTTTCTGCCCCGAATCGTCACACTGAAGAAGCCCCCTGGAGCTCAGGTTAGTTAATGGAACAATGATGTCTTATTCCAGGTTAGATTTGTTCACACCAGACCCAGAAGTTAGCTGTGGTTGGGATTACAGATTGGGAAGCAGGTAGGGAGGTAAGGAAACTACCTTTACTGGGCAGAAAAGCTGAGGACCATTTCCACAACTTCTGACTTCTCTCTGAGGGACACATAGCCAAGCTATCATATAGTGATGCTACTAGATATTCTTGTGTTTACTGTCAATATTGAGCACCCATTCTGTGCTCTTGTCTTGCAGTTGGGATTTAACATCCGAGGAGGAAAGGCCTCCCAGCTAGGCATCTTCATCTCCAAGGTGCGTGTACCTGGTAGGCAATATGGATAGCTACTTCCCTTTGTTACCAGATTGCAGAACTGTGATGTCCCAGGGCCTGGAAGGATGATTTAGTAGACTCTTAGAATGGGGCATAATGGGGAAATTCTTTCCCACTTAAAACTTCCCACGTGGCCAGCATCTGT